AGTGGGACTCACACTGCCCTATTTCAGAACTTCTTATAGAAGTGTGGCAAACAACAGTGTGGTCCTGGCACAAGGATAGACATAGACCACTGAATAGAGTTAAAAGTCCAAATAGAAACCCACCTGTGCATTTATGGTCAGCTGGTTTTTGACAAAGGTGCCAAGAGCATTCTATGGGGGAAAGATTAGTCCCTTCTACAGAAGTCCTGGGACTACTGGATTTCCAAGGAGGTGTTAGACCCCCTACCTGACATCATATTGAAAAACAAGCTCAAAGTGGATAAAGCATGTATTTAAGAGCCAAGAGTATCGTAATTTGTGACAGCTAAAAAGCAGAGCCACCTCGGTGTCCACTCATGGTGAGCAGATGAAGAACAAGGGCATAGGAAAGGACGGCTTTCATCTGTAAAGAAATGAAGTACCCAGCTGGGCACAGTGGCACACGCCTATAATCCCAGCGGCTGGGGAGGCTGAGGCAGGAGGATCATGAGTTCAAAACCAGCCTCAGCAGTGGTGAGGCTCTAAGCAACTCAGTCTTTAAATAAAAGACCCTGTCTTTAAAATAAACACAAAATAGGGCTGGGGATGTGGTTCAGTGGTTGAGTGCCCCTGAGTTCAATCCCCTGTATCAAATAGAAAAAAGAACAAGAAATGAAGTACCCATATTTACTACAGCATAGACGGATTTGTAAAATGTGCCCAGTGAAGGATGCCAGGCACAGAAGAGCCACATCTGACATGACCCCAGTGATAGGAAATGCTGAGAATGCAGATCCGTGGGTGGATGGGTGGGAGTGGGATTAAGTGTGAACAGGCATGGGGTGTCTCAGGTATGGGCAGTGTCCTATAACTAGATTGTGCCCTAGTTGCACAATTTGATTTTATTAAAAACCAGTGGCGTGTATGCCTAAAATACACACTTGTATGGTATGTGAATTATTTCTTAGTAAAGTTGTTTAACCAGGAAATTTGGCTAAAAATAATGACGAGTGATGAAATGGTTCCCGCCACCCTGCAGTTTTCCTCTAAAGTTTAACCCTGGCCTCTGCCTTTAGCACACCTCATCTGGGTCTCACTGTAGCTGTCAGGGAGCACTAAGCATCTCTTCTTCCTGGTCAGGTGCTGATATCTCTAACGTGTGCAATGAAGCAGCCCTGATTGCTGCCCGCCACCTGAGTGCTTTTGTCCAGCAGAAGCATTTTGAGCAGGCCATTGAGAGAGTCATCGGAGGTGAGCCCATCCGCCCCTGGGGAGGAGAGGCATTTCCAGCTCTGCTCCTGGCAGGCCCTCCCCAGCCCAACCTCACTTTTGCATATGGAGACGTGATTAGTTTTCTAAGCCAAAATTTGGGTCTGTGGCTCTCCCAGCAGCTTTCCTGCCCTTGGGACTGTGTGCAGTCCATCTGAGGGTCAGTATTAGATGTGGGAAGGCAAAGCAAGTCCTCCCTGAAGGGAGGGGAGGAAGCCAGAAGGAATGGCAAGTCTGGGGAAGCCTTTGGGAGCTCTCCTGGCCCAGCACTGCTGAGGAGTGAGTGTCAGTGTCATCTTCAGCTTGGCGGATAACTGCCATCTTCAGCCAGCAGTGGGTGAGATGGTCTCCTGCAGTTTGGGGAAGCCCAGGACTCAGCTGGGCCAGGCAGGTGGCAACTGGAGTTAGCAGTGGGTCAGGGTCTTGTAGGGCCACCAGAGTTGCCAGAGGCTGCAGGGGCTGGCCTGGCTCTTCTTGGTGCTGTTCCTGGAAATGGAGATTATAGAGGCAGCAGGAGCACATCCTGATGGTCCTGCCCCATGCTGAGACCAAATCAGCCAGCTGGGAGGTTATCCTTGAGCTTTGTTTTCATTTGATTTTTTTGACATATAATATCTACTAAGTAGCTCMAAGCAAAACCCAGAATTTGTCAAGGGCATTCTGGGGGCTGATGACCCATGCAGCTCAACGTGTGCTGCTCTTGTTTGCTTCTCTGTCCTGTCACTGTGGGGCTGGGCTGTGAGATCTTTGGGAACTGCCCTCTTTGTTCCACCATGCTTGGGTTTTGCCTCTTGTCATGCCCCAGAAAGGACACAGTACCTCTGACTCCCATTGGCTCACAGTTGCTTCTTGAAGCAGCCTGTGCCTGAGGAGTGGGAAGTAGGGTGGGGCGTGGAGGTTGGTTGGGAATGTCCCCCAGAACTAGGACATAGCATGGAGCTACAGTTTGGGGCAGCCCAGGCCTCTCTGCCACCTTCTGCCCTAGAGGGAGGGACTCCCAGGTGGGTGTTGGGAATCGAGTGTGGCAGCAGATCAGGCCCTCAGTCTGGTGGGGTGTAGGTTGGGCTTTTCCCCTGCCTGTCACTCACCTGGGAATGTGATTTGTAGGCTTTGAGAAGAARACTCAGGTCTTGCAGCCCAGTGAAAAGACAACCGTGGCCTACCATGAGGCAGGGCACGCAGTGGTAGGCTGGTTCTTGGAGCATGCAGACCCCTTGCTGAAGGTGGGTCTCTTGTGCTGAGWGTGTCTGCCCGTGGAGCCTAGGAGTTACCTGCTCATGTGCCTGGCRATCCAGCCAGTTCATGTGGGCACAGCCCTCCTGGGGGTGACCCTTTTATTTTTCAWGGAATGTGCTGGTCTTGAGTCTGTTAGATTCCTTGTGGGGGCAGGGGGAGAAGAAGCATTAGGAAGGCAGAGCAGGGTGTGTTGGCTCTAGGTTGGGCCTCAGCCACTGACTCCTGAGAAGTCAATCCAGAACTGGCTTTGCTCCTGAGCATTGGATTTGACCCCTGTCAGAAGAGGTTTCCATAGCAACCTCTTGAGCTGAGCCCCTAGGCAGGGCCAGTGCATTGCTCAGGGTGACACTTCCTGTCAGTGGTGGGCTTAGGCCCAGGGCGGTCTTCTCCGAGGTGTAAGGGGTGAGCCCCTGGCCAKGGCTGTGAGAGGGTGTGTCTGGGCTGCACTGGGGTGCTGCTGGGGGACTGACGAGCTTGTGGCCCCTCTTTTGCAGGTGTCCATCATCCCCCGGGGCAAGGGGCTGGGGTATGCCCAGTACCTTCCCCGTGAGCAGTACCTCTATACGCGGGAGCAGCTTTTTGACCTCATGTGCATGATGCTGGGCGGCAGGGTGGCTGAGCAGCTGTTCTTTGGGCAGATCACCACTGGGGCTCAGGATGACTTGAGGAAGGTYACCCAGAKCRCCTATGCCCAGGTAAAGAGCARCTGTCCTRTGAGTGGCTCYTGGTGGCYGTGTTGGGGGCGGCTCACCCTCTGCTYCTTTTGTACTTGCAGATTGTGCAGTTTGGGATGAGTGAGAAGCTGGGCCAGGTGTCCTTCGACATCCCCCAGCAAGGTGAAGCCCTGGTTGAAAAGCCGTACAGTGAGGCCACTGCCCAGCTCATTGATGAGGAGGTGCGGCGCCTCATCGGCTCTGCCTACGACCGCACCCTGGAGTTGCTGACTAGGTGCCGGGAGCAGGTGGAGAAGGTGAGGGGAACCTATGGCCAGGGAATGGGAGGGAGTCCCCTTGTAGCAGCCTGACAGATGGACTGTCATCTCCAGGTAGGCAAGCGGCTCCTGGAGAAAGAAGTGCTGGAGAAGGCCGACATGGTGGAGCTGTTGGGCCCTCGGCCCTTCGTGGAGAAGTGCACCTATGAGGAGTTCGTGGAGGGCACTGGTAGCCTGGAGGAGGATACATCGCTTCCTGAGGGCCTGAAGGGCTGGAACCAGGGACGGGAGGAGGGGGGCACAGAGCAGCACCTGCAGGAGAGCCCTGCATAGCCTGTGCGCAGCCACCTGCAGGCACGTTGGCTGGGCTCTCAGGCAGCAGCTGCTACCCAGAGCTTTTGCAAAACAGCTGCCAGAGTAACTGGAAAACAAATTAAAATAAGTGACAACCCCAGACAGACATCTTAGATCAGGTGCTCACAGTCTAGAGAGGAGAGGGAGGGGAGTTGGCAGCCACCAGAGAGGAGGTGGCTGAAGGGGCAGAAGAGGTTCTCCAGCCCTTGGACCTCATTCCTAGGGTGACTTTGGTCAGAGGGAGAGACATCTGGGCTCTGACCCGTGGGAGCCAAGGAAGGACAAGAATCTTCCTGGGGAGCCCTGGGTGTAGTGGCCACTAGGAATCTGGATCTTGTGGTGGAGACAGGCCCTCAGTGTCCTAGTGAGCCTGTCCGTGGGGAGGTGTGAAGGTGGGTTGTCTCAAAGTGGCTTGGAGGAAGAGTCTGGCCCAGCACAGATACCCCAAGGTTTGGTGAGGCAGAGTAAAGAAAAGGAAGTGGTAAGCCAGTTAGTTACCAGGGACACCTGGGTCCACAGTGGCCATTGTATGGGGGAGAGTGGTTGTTTGGTAACCAAAAAGGAAACATCACCACACTTGCATCCCTGAGTTGAAGGCAGGGGTCACAGGGCGCCATCTGGGGCCTGGGCCCTGTGGCAGCAGCATCCTTTAAGCTTAAGGGAGACTTGGGTTCTCACCGGAGCCTGGCCCAGGGTGGGCATGCCTTACTGACCAAGATGAATAGAGATTCTGCTTTCCCCAGAATCCCTTGTGTGGAGGTTTAGGGGAGGATCTGGGCTGATCCCCCATGGCCTCCCCTCAGCCCTGAGGGAGGGTTTGTAGGGCCTTGAAGCCTCTGCAGATGCCGCCTCTATTAATCCTCCTCTATCTTTTTCAATAAAAAGAAGACTGGTTCCAGGTCGTGAGCTCCAGACCTCATGATGCCCTGAATTGAAAGTGTCCCCCTTTCCTTGGTCCTGGGGTTTGAGGACCCCTACTGCTGGGGCTCAGTGTGGCTGAGTGGGCCTTAGTGAAAGTGGGCTTCCTCCTGTGTCACGGGTGTGGGTGTGAGCCATTCCAGCTGGCAGGCGCATCTGGCTCAGCTTGGCTGCTGGCCAGCGTCCTGGGTGCCCCTCTGAGAGGAGGTTCTGCTGCTGCCCCACACTCCAGACCCTGGCCAAACTCTGGCTTTCTAGGGACTGGCACTTTCAACTTCCACAGATTGTAAAATGTACGTTGTTGAATTTTTAAATCTCAGGCTCCACCTAGATCATGGTCTTCACCAAGTTGAGTTGAGGCATCTGGGGACTTCTTGGGTTCCCTCTGATGGAGGCCAAGGGTGCTCCCTCAACTCCAGGCCCCTGTGGTAGGGCCTCCAGGGTCCTAGTCTGCCTTGTGCATTCAGGTCCTCAGGCCTCGGCACCTCTTTCTAACCACACCTGAGCTGCTCCTGGTAGAACACAGTCGGGCCAGCTCCTCGGTGTCTCCCTCTACCCTCTTTACCTATTTGGTCCTGCTCAAGGTGTTCAGTAATTAGCACAGTCTGTGTACAGGGTGGTGCCTTGGCAGTAGGATAGAATACAGTCTTCTTGTCCACCCCAACTCAGTGAGGTCATCCTACAGTCCTGTGGGTGCTGCTCTTTCTGCCACAGAAGTCTCATGCTAAAGAGTTGCCAGCAGATGAGTGAGCCTATAGGAGTCAGGAGCCAGCAGCCCTTTTCCCGGTTAGAACTGGGAGCAGGTAAGGCTAGTAGGGCCTGTGCTTGACCAGGGTCTGCATCCAGGTCCATGTCCTCAGCTGCCTGAGGGAAGGGAATTTATTATGGGATGTGTCAGAGAGTGTCAGGAGTCACCCCCTTCCCAGAAAGCACGAGTCTATTTCTGAGTCCAAACATAGAAGGCCTGGCTTTCTGCTAGGGGGGGTCCAAGCTTCCCTTCTGGAGCCTCATAGGGCAACTTTGTGCTGAGGAAGAATGCAAATGTATGGGCCAGGCAGAAAGCAGGTCAGACCTGGCTGGGCCTCATCCCTGGCCTGCCAGTGGCCTTACTGTGGCTCTCTCAGGACATGGCCCTGCTGGGAAGGTTGATCGCCAGGGAGTAGACCACCTTTGTGGGCTTGTGTGGGCAGGACATTTATTCCAAAGAATTCCTTTTGCTGTCTTAGGGCATAGGAATCAGGGCACTGTCCTTCAAATGCAACCCAGCAAGCAGCCTGGCGCACAGTGCAGCTGGAGAGCGGCCAGCGCCCTCACCCACAGCAGCCTGGTGTGCCTGTGGCATTTGGAAGGAAGAGCCTGGCTCAGGCCTTCTGAGGGTGGCTGGACTTTGATCTCACTCAGTGTGCCCCCCAGTGGCTGCAGCAGAAAGGGTGGGAAGTGGGGAGGGAGCCCTGGGGCACACAGCTGCCTTGATAAGGTGAAAGAGAGAGCTGCTCAGTTCTTTTCCACTGGAAATCAGAGACCTGGTCAGGCAGGAACTGGACTTTCCTTCAGAGGCCAATACTACATGGAGGTGGGGTGAGGGATCAGAGGTGGGAGCCTCCTGGATGTCCCCAGCACATGGCAGAAGCCCCGTGCATCCCTCTAGTAGAGACCTGTGAAAATGAAGATCAAGGGCCTGTCTTCCTTCCCCAGAAACACTTCAGTGTGGAGCAGAGCAGGGCAGGTTGGCTGGGGGGCACAAAGCAAGCTGACAGTTTTTTTCAAAACCAGTCTTTGATTCACATTCAGACCAGAAGACTATTCTGGGTCTCTTTGCACATAAAAAGGAATTTTGGGAGCAGCTGGGTTGGGTGCCTAGGACATCCCCACAGCAGAGAGAGTAGGCCTGTTGGCCCTACTTCCCCTGCCCCTCCTTGGAATATTCCCAGGATCCGGTCAGTCCCAGGGTCACAGAGTGTGTTTGATAGGCTGTGTTGGGGCTGGGCAGTGGGATGTGGAAAACAGACAAAGCTAGGTGCCCTTGTAATAGATGTGGGGTGGGAGAGGGCGAGCCGCTCCCCCTCGAGCAGTCTGGGAGGTGGTGCTGAGGTTCTGAGGCAGTCTGGCGATATTTGGTGTCCTAAGCTAAAGAGGAGGTGGGCCAGGCCCTCAGCCCCAGGCTGTCATACCCGGGGACCAAGAGAAGCAGGCACAAGTTGTAGAGGGGTGCCTGGGCCGGGGGGACCTGGTACCAACAGGCCTTCCTTGGACAGAGGGGAAGGGGCAAGGTTGAAATYAAGGTGGAGGTTTTCTGGACTGAGCCTCCCCCCATTCTTGGCTGGGGGCGGTGTAGTGACCCAGGAGCCACTGCCAAACCCACTGTGGCTTCCAAGCATGGTGGCATGAAGCGATGCTGAGATTGGAGACCCCAGGTGGTTTTGGAGTGGCTCTCACAGGCTTGGATCCCCCTCACCCAAGCATACTGGGGGATCTTTTGACAGACTCAGAGCATTGCTCCTAGAGACAGAAGTTTCCAGAAGGTTTAGGCCACCATTGTTCATTCTTTGCTTCATCCTCAAGCAGTGACTCCAGGTGGTATGGTCCCTATTCCAGGGTCCAGAAACCAGCTGGATGTAAGGCCACTGGGCTGTGCTTGTGCTGGGGTGACCTGAGGCCTGCCCTGGCAGCCCTACCCTGACCTGCTGTCAGGAGCCTTGTGGGGAGGGTGGAGGGGCGGAGCGTGTCCTGGGTCTGAAGTGTCTTGCTTTGCCATCCTGGTGGTGGTCGAGCCTCAGCCCTGTGGTGTCTCTGGGGCAGATGGAACTGGCCTAATCCTCCTTGGGTCCTTCCACGGTGAGAAATGTGTCCACAATGGCAGCCTGTCGCTCTGGGTCGCTGAGGGGCTGCTTCTCACGGTTCTGCTCAGCCCTTGTCTTTGTCCAAGAGGGGGAACGCAGACAGCCAGCCCTAGGCAGCGGGTGTAGACCTGATGGAAGCAGACCAGGTGCTCTGGTGGGCACATGTGGCTGGCATCTGTGCCAGCCCAGAGTCACTGGCTGCAGCTGCTGCCCTGGACCCCCTGTGCCTAGCACATGGAAGTCTCTAACACTGGGTCTGCCACTGGGTGGGTTGGGGTGGGGATGTGCTCAGAATACAGAGATGTGGATAGTTGACCCCTCTGGTGTCCTCAGAGTCACTGCAGTCTGCCATGTCTGACCCCCTATTATGTGAACCTAACTCTGGCCCCCTCCTAGTGAACCTGGCGGGTCCTCCCCAAAGCTCCCAGTGTCCCAGTGCAGCCTGGGGCCCTGTGGGCTGTCTGGGGCTAGAGGTTCAGGTGGGCTAGCCACAGCAGCCACAGGCCGACCTTCACCCCGCACACACCTGTGGGCTTATGGGTTGGAAGGGCCACTGCCTGGGACACATTGAGCCTAGTGGGAATTGGCTGGGATCAGGCAGGTAGCTTGTCTGGGAAGTAAGCTGGGACAAGCTGTTCACAAGGACAGAGCCACGGTCACCCATCTATTGCACCCTGCCCCCCTCCCTGGTGCCACTGTCATGCTGAGGAGCCTGGACTCCCCAGGGAGACACAGTCTGCCCCTCCAGGGAACATGTGGGCGGCTGGTCACTGACAAGATCCTCAGCAGGGCTTGTCCTTAGTGAGGCCCCCAGGGCATGTGTGTTCGCGTACAGGTTTAGCCTGAGCCATGGGTGCAGTGTGTAGGTTCCAGCCTGGGCCTGGGGGTGGAACAGGTGCAGGGTCTGGGCCTGTCTGGGAGCACTGGGTGCAGGTCACGTCAGTGACCTTCACTGTTGGGGACAGACTGATGGACACTTGTGTCCCCCTAGGGTGGATCCCGAACTCCGATGACAGGGCTTGGGGTAGAGACAGGAGGATGGCATGCCCAGGAGAGTTGCTCGTGAGGTGGGCAGAGGGAAGGGCCTGGGGTCTCCAGCCAGTGTCAGCACTTCCTTGGGAACCAGTGGGGGGGGAACCCAGTCAGTGAGCCAAGAGGAGCCCAGGCTGTCAGATTTACCCCACCCCACCTTGTGTTCAGTCTAACATTAAAATTTACATTAATAAATACTTTTTAAGTGACTGTGGCTTTGGCTTCTGGTTGTTCATTGGAAAGGTAAAGCTGAGCAGAGCACTTCTGACAGGAGGGAAATTCCTTCATGCTGGGAAGCTGGTGTAAGACCATGTGTTGGCCACAAGTTTTCCTGAATGCAGGGCCTGCCCCTGCTAGGCAAGTGCACTACCAGTGACCCACACCCCCAGCTCTTGGACATAGGGTCTTGCTAGGTTGCCCAGGCTAGCCTTAAGCTGGGGATCTTCCTGCCTCAGCCTCCCAGACTGCTAGGAGTACACAGGTGGCCACTGCACCTGGCAGGATTGGGGAGAAGTCCCCCACCGAGTCACCCTCCCCCACCCTGCATGCCTCACCTGCTGGAGATTCACTGGTCAGGTTCTCCTCATCAGAGTCGGCAAAGACCTCGGCCAGCTCCTGGTCTGACATGTCTGTCAGCTCGGTGAGATCCAGAAGGTCAAAATGGACCTCCAGAGAGGAGACGCTGCTCAGGGGCTCTGGGGTACAAGAAGATGGTCACCTCACAGTCCCTCCAACAAGGCTCTCGAGAGCCCAGGGGGCCTAGGAAAGCGCACCGCCTCTTCCCACAGGCCCACGAGTGAACCAGAGCTTTCTGCAGTGCCAGCCCAGGACGAGCCGGGGCAGAACAGGCCCGGGTGGTCTGCTCTGCGGTCAGGAGTGGAGAGCTCTCTGGGGTCTTCCATTTTATAAATAGCATGACAGGCCGAAGAGCCAAAGTCATGAGAACTCTGTAAGGGCTCAGCATGGCCAGACCGCCTCACACCGTGTCCTTGCCCTTGAGAGCCAGGCTGCTTTGTTCCCTGTGGAGCTAGGGGTCCCCAGAGAGGATACGGGGCTGGTCAGTGATACTTACGCCTCCTCTCTGTGACCTGCAAGAGCCCTGGTGCTGGTATCGGGATGCCCACCTCCTCCTCAGCCACAGGAGTATGGCAACTGCTCTCTGTTCCATGAGCTGGGACACCCAGAGCAGCCGGTGGCACCTCTACCTCCTTAATGGTCTCTGCAACCAAGAGAATTTTACCATCAAGACTTGGAGAGTCTCCCAGGCCCCTGGGATTGGGCCTGGGAAGAGGGGCATGAGGACCTGGGATGTTGAATCTTACACTGAGGCTTGGGCAGTGGCCACAGGTATCCAGGGGAGGCTTCAAACAAAAGGGTAGGGAGGGTGCTCCTTCCCCTGAGACCCAGGCCACCTCCTGGGGATAAGTAGGGGACATTTCAAAGCAGATGTCTGCACAACCCCAGGGCCCCAGCACCAAGCTGCTCCTGCAGTGGGAATTCACCTTATCCTGTCAGCTCAGCCCTCAGGGATCCCAAAGCCAGCTCTTTACTGTCTCTTCTCTGTAGACTTTTTCTATTAAAAACCCAGGTTATATCTGGTTTCAAAATGAAAAGAGGGTTACAAAGTAAAACAGGAAGTGCGGTCTGTCGTCCTAGCATTCCTTGGCCAACAGCCTCACTGTACAATTGGGTAAATGTTCTTCCAAGTTATTTCTGTGCGATTTTTTTTTTAAATGTACTTTTTTTTTTTTTAATCCCTGTCAGATGGGAACAGGAACCCCCAAGAACCTGCTTGGATGGAGACTGCCCTGTGGTCCCATGCAGCCACCAGCTGCCCCTTCTGGTCACTCGGGATTCATTTCTCTATCCACACATCCCCTCTATTCCTCTTTCAGAATGTACCAGAACCCCCTGCCTGCCCCTAGCTCCTCTTCTTTGGCCACATCCCAGTGCCTTCCCTCCTCATTCCCACGCAGCCAAAGGCGCCTGCTCACCAGTTAGGCCTGGCCCCACAGCCCCATGTCCCCCAGAGAAGAGGCAGAGTATCCTCCTTGTTTTCTTCCCAATATGTCCCCTGTCCCCTGGAGCCCTAGCCCCTTCATGAGGGGCTTCTCTGACCTCTGACACCCACCCAAGCAGGTGCTTGATGTGCGCTTGGGTAGGAGTGGCCTGCACTGGGCCTGGAAGCGGAGGCACTCCTGCAGCCTTGGCTGTGCACATGGAACCAGTTGGGGAGCAGCTGCTCCCAGGAGGCTGCCCTGAGGGGGCCTCACTGGGGGCTCCCAGCACTGACAGCTGCCTGTGAGGGGTGGCCTGTCTTCCCTAGTGACACGGGTGGCAGTGTGGATACTGCTAGGTGAGACACCTGCACCTGATGACCCACCTCCAGCTGAGCCAAGGAAGATAGGAACATGGAGAGACAGGTGCAAAGTGAGGAGCACCTGTGCAGGCCGGTGGGGGTCCCCACCTTTCTCTGGGCCATTGCCAGTGGTAAAGAGAGCTGGGCAGAGTGTGGGAGATGGGGGGTCTGGTCGTAGCTGATGGCAGGATGATGGGCAGCCGGTCAAGTTCTGCCTGGGATGCAGCCCCCTGGCCTGACTGCTGTCTCCTTGCCAGGTGGCCTAGGACCTCCATTTAGTGGAAAACCAGCCTGCTGTCCCTGGTGCCCTTAGGTTGCATCACTGCATGGCCTGTCCCAGGCCTGGGGACTGGTCAGTCTGGAAGGGCACAAGGTATCCTGTTTCTACTTGTATTGGCATCGAGTGTCCTTGGAGGGTAAAGTTACATCTGCTGGCGTCCTGGCCCCCAACCCAGCCTCTGTTCCACTTTCCAGAGCGCACACAGATGTGATTTAGATCTTAATCTGATTAGGGGAGCTGGCACTTCCCTCACCAGTGAGTAGGGGGACCATGGCCCAAATCACTGTCCACAGGGTTGAAACCTAGGGAGAGGACACATCACAGGAGACGTCAAGGTCCCCTTCCTTAGGGTACAAGTGTATGATTTCTGTACCACGGGCCTGTACTGGTCACAATTCCTCAACACTTCATAGAGCTCAGAGCTGCACCCCCTGTGTGGCAGGCAAGACTCCACTGTGGCTAGAAGCTCAGGAAGGAGCTGCCATCTGTCTGGAGAGATGTGACCAAGAGCTAAGAGGTACAGGTAGGGAGACTGAGGCGTGGAGGGCATGGATGACTTGCCGGAGTCCCTGCTCTAGAGAGCCCCTAGCTAAGGAAGCCACAGGATACTCTTACCTCCCCAGGCTTCAGGGCCAGGCATGTGGCCCAGGGCTATCCTTATGCTATTGTAGGTGGCCCTCAGCTCCACCTCTGCCCCCGTTTCTCCCCATGGCCCCCTCCTCGCTAACAGCTTCCCTGAAATCAAGGAAAAGCAGCTCTGTAGAAAGCCACCTCTGGGAGATAGCCCCCACCTGGGCAGTGGCTCAGGGGGTTCTAGTGCTGGTGTCAGGCAGTCTCCTTCCGTGTTGCCAACTGCCTGCCTCCTCGCAGCCACCTATTGGAGGCGGGGGGGATAAGGAAACAGGCCTAGGGTGGCGTCTATCGTCAGCACAGTGTGAGGGCCAGCTCTGATTCTGGGGTAATGGTGCAAGGCTGAGAGCAGGGGATCCCTGTTCAGAGCCAGCAGAGCAGGAAGAACCCTTCCAACTCAGGTGGGAAGTAGAATTCTGAAAGAGGAGAGAAGGGGGGGTCTCCACTCGCAGCTGCCCTCTTGCTTGGCGGGGCCCTCACCTAACACGAAGGCACGCCAGCACACATCTGTCCGTCCAACAAAGACTGCTTACACGCCATGCTGTTCTGGAGATGAGGCGTGAACATGAGGAGCAGGCTGTATGCAGGAGCAAAGGGGCCTTTCTTTCATTCCAGGGAAAGGCCTGGAGGGCTGTCTACAGAGACAAAGGAAGGGTCTGAAGGAAGCCATGCTGTACCTGGGCACAGGCCCTGGCGCTGGACTGCAGAAGTCCTGAAGGGCATGTCACTGAAGCATGGCCAGGGGCACTGCAGTGGGACCAGGAGAGCAGGGTGAGGGTGGGCAAGAGTAGGGGGAGGTGGTGGCTGTGTGAAGGTCATGTGGACAGTTAGTAAAGGGTACTAGGCTGAGAGGGACAGCGTCTGCCTGCATGTTTAGGGTGGTCCAGTGAGGACACAGTCCAGGCAAAAGGGAAGAAGTCTGCTGGCACTGTTCCCACCGGCTCCATGTGCCAGTTCCCCTCCACTTGTGCAGAGATGGGGTACCCTGAGTAGGACTCAGCCAAGGGCCAAGCTCCATCCCCAAGTCTTGCACTGGGGAGGGTCTGTGAACACCATCATGCCTCATTACAGATCCTGGGATCTCACGGGGTCTTGGTCAGCCCTGGAGAAACCCAGCTCCCCAGGCACAGCCTGTTAAAATGACTCTTAAGATCTTTTTGAGGGCTGGGGATGTGGCTCAAGCGGTGGTGCGCTCGCCTGGCATGCAGGCGGCCCGGGTTCGATCCTCAGCACCACATACCAACAAAGATGTTGTGTCCGCCGAGAACTAAAATAAATAAATAAATAAATAAATAAATAAATAAATAAATATTTAAAAAAAAAAGATCTTTTTGAATTTTAACTGTTGATGGTATCTTCGAGTTAGCTGGATATGGGGCAGGCAGTATCCGTTTCTTTCTTTCTTTCTTTTTTTTTTTTTTTTTTTGTGTGTGTGTGGTGCAGGAGATGAATCCAGGGCTTCACACAGCTAGGCAAAGGCTCTATCACTGAGCTATACCACAACCCCCTGAACTTTTGAAGTTGCCATCTGTCTAGTTCTGATCCTTTGGTCATGATCTGGTCTTTATTCTGTAAATCCTGGTCCCATGATCTGTGCAAAAATTGGGGGAGAAAAATGTAGAAGATGCAACTTTTGCCATCAAGAGCACAAATCTTTTGGTTGTAAGAACACAATGAAAACAGAAAACTGAAGTCAAAATGCAAGGGACAGATGAAGCCTGAGCCCCAGGAAGGGGCAAGACTGACCTTGGCATATAAAGTGGTGTGGCTGCTGCGGAAATAGTCTTCCAGATTCTCAGATCAAGCCCAGAGTTACCACAAACCCAGCATTTTCACTCCTAGGCACTACCCAAGAGAAATGTGAATCTTCATCCACACAAAGATTTGGACGTGAATGTTCACAGCAGCATGGTCCCTGAAGTGGAAACCCAACGTCTACTAACAGAGAATGGTAAACTAAATGTTGATCATGTGGACTATCCATAAGTGGAACATTAACCAACAATATAAAGCAACGATACATACCACACATAGGTGGACTTCAACATTACAGGGAGTGTAAGAACAGTCACAAAAGGTCACTCATTGCATGGTTCCATTGTATCAAATGTTCAGAATAGGAAAATCCATGGAAAGTCGATTGGTGATTGCCAGGGCTGTGGGACGGGAGTGGGGAATGAACATAGTTGTTTGGGGGAGGTGATGAAAATATTTTAATATTAGTGGTGATGACTGCACAGTTTTATGGATGTAACAAAAACACTGAATTGCATGCCTCAAAAGGGTAAAATTTAAGCTGGGCAGGTGGATGGATCCATCACTTGTGGACTTGCACTGGGGAGGGTTTGTGAACACCATCATGCCTCATTACAGATCCTGGGAAGCCCTCCGAGTGCCAGAGGAAGGCATAGGATGTGGCTGTGGGGGTGCACGCCTGTAATTCCTGCAGCTTGAGAGGCTGAAACAGAAGAATTGTGAGTTCAAAGCCAGCCTCAGCAAAAGCCAGGCACTAAGCAACTCAGTGAGACCCCGTCTCAAAATAAAATATAAAATAGGGCTGGGAATGTGGCTCAGTGGTTGAATGCCCCTAAGTTGAATCCCCAGTACCAAAAAAAAAAAAAAAAAAAAAAAGAAAGAAAAGAAAAAAATTATGATATTAGAATTATATCTCAATTAAAAAACAATCCTCAGAAGTAACAAACAAGGGTTGATCTTGGCTGGAGTTGATGGGCAAACCCAGGGTGAGAAGTGATACACACCAGTGTGCTATGTGCATATGATGGCAGGCAGCATGCACAGCCCCAGGGGAGGCTTGGATTGGGTGAGAGGTGTGAGGGAAGCAGCTCTCATATAGTTCATGTGATTTCCCAAGACCTATGCTTGGACCCAGAGCACAGCAGGCCCACAACAAATGTGAATGAATGATCCCAAGACCACTCAGGTCGGCAAGAAGGATCAGAACCCCTTCGGGGCAAGGCCCTTGGCTATTTCCGGGGAAGTAAGCAGAGTCACATGTCAGGCAGGCACTGGGTGGGATCCTGGAAGCCTGGCTAAGCCATGACTTGATGGGCTGGAAGGCCCTGGAATCACCCTGGCCAGGGCAAGTGGGTGTTTTCTTGTTGCTATTGTTGTTTTTGCAGTGCTGAGGATTAAACCCAGGTCCTTTGTGTGCTGGACAGGCACTCCCACACTGACCTGTACTCCCAGCCCTTTTAATATTAAGACAGGGTATTACTAAATTGCTAAGGCTGTCTTCAAACTTGTAATCCTCCTGCCTCAGCCTCCCAGGTAGCTGGGATTACAAGTATGTGTCACCCATGGTGTCTGGCCATGTGGGTGTTTCCAGTGCTCCAGGAAGGACCCCAGGTATGGGGTCACAGCAATGTCGTTGACCCAGCAGACCCAGGTCAGTGTGGGCAGGGAGCCCCTCACCCCCTACAGAGATTGCTGCTGCCTGGACCTATGGGTGGGGACTTGAGTTGGGGAGCCACAGTCCTGCCCACCAGTTTTCTCCCAGGGCTGACTGCTGACACCTGTGCTTTGCTGCTGACCTATTTTCCAGCCCATTTGTGCCTGGAAAACTTGGCCCAAATCTCACGTCCCCTGCTGTACTCCCAGGGCCTTGCCACTCTACATACCACTGAATGAATGAACAAGTGAATTAATGAAGTGAATGAATAAATGCAAAAAGAAAAATGGCTGCAGAGAGGAAGAGATGGTCAGCAGTAGGAGCCACTTCTGCCCTGTTTCCCCAGCACCTTCATGCCTGAATCTGGTCTCCCTCAAGTATTTTAAGGAGGCTGAGCTGCCCCGACTAGACTCATAGGCTTCTAAGGGTAGGGCCATGGCCCCTCTCTTTGTCCCTGCTGATCCTCAGACAGACTGAAGTGGGATGGGATAGAGCCCTGCTGTCCAAAGATGCTAGCTGTGCCCCTCAAGGAATGCCCACTTGGCATTCCTGTACCCAGGTCTCGCTTCTGTGGTCTGCACACTTTGATATTAAGACATTGTTATTAACTCTCTTAGGTGCAAAGGATATTTTGTTACTGGAGACCAAACCAGGGTTGCCTTATCACTGAGCTACATCCTCAGCCCTTTTCATTTTTTATCTCGAGACAGGGTCTTGCTGAGTTGAACTTGTGATCCTCCTGCCTCTACTTCCCAAGTCACTGGGATTACAGGTATGTTCCACCGTACCTGGCAGGTACAAAATATTTTGATGATGCTTTATCTTACATTTTAGAGGTAATTTCTTAAATGGGTATGGATGAAATAATAGGCCTCTATTTGTTCCCAAATACTACTGAAGATAGGCTGGAACTGGTCTGGATAAGCCCGGTTGTGGTCTGTGGGCTGAAAGGCGGCATGGAGCTTTAGTTAATTGGGCTCGCTACTTTGTGGATGCTCCATATGCCCCCAAATAACGTTTCAACAGTGAGAACTCAGATATGGGCATCATAATCACCAACATGAGGCTTCACGAGGTCTCACGAAGCAGAGCTCACTAGCCCAGGTGTAGACAAGGGAACAGGGCTAAAGGTATCAATGACATGAGCCCCATCTGTTCCCTGGCCAGGTCCCTAACTGTAGGCACAGTGCCTGCACAGAACAAGCACCTGGAAGAAGTGTCTGTGCACAGACTGAGTTAGGATCTGAGAACCCAGTCGGTAAGTGATGCATTTAGGAAATCAGCCTGCTCTCTGCCTTTAAACTACTGAGAAGTTCTTTCTTTCCTCAGAGGAGGAGAGAAAACAAGCTCACCTCTTCTCCCAGGTGCCTCACCTCTTACCTCACCCTGGCCTCCCACAGCCCTATAGGGTAAAGGGGCTGCATCCACTGACATGGAAATGGAGGCTCAGGGTGCACTAGCAGCTTGCCACATGTCACAGTTCAGAATTAGCTCTGAGTCCCCCAAGCCACTGAATTCCGGTCCTCCCCACTTTTGGTGGCTAGGAGGCTGCTACAGGGAAGACCCAAGGTCCTGGGATGTCAATAGCAAGAGAACTCTGATCCACCCCCCATAACAAAACAGAAAACCCAAACCCACTAGCTTCAGGGTGTGTCTCCTGCTTAGAGAGAGTGACAAGAGACTCAGACAGGACCCCCACCCCCATTGCCAGACACAGTGGCAGGTGGATGGATCCATCGCTTCTGGACAGCTCCTAGGGGCAGCCCTCCGAGTGCCAGAGGAAGGCGCAGTATGTGGCTGCGGGGTGGGAGGGCTGGGGTGGGGGGGCTGGAGGGGCGGGGGCAGACTGGCAGCTGGCCTCTCCCCCAGACACTGGCTGGCTCCCTGGGATGGGATATCCAGGACATCCAGGATGTGTTATAGGCCTGGGCAGGCAGCCTAGAGATCTCTGAAAACCGGTCTGGAAGAGATGTGAAAGGGAAGGGTTCTGAGAGTGCCCTCAGATCTGCAGCCACCACCCTGTCCAGGGCTTGAGTCAAGGGAGGAAGACCTGCCTCAGGATCTCAATCCTCAAGGGAAGGGTCCCCAAGAACTGACAGGAGCTGCGAGGAGAGGGCGTCCCAGGCAGCCTGCCCTCCCAGATGTGTGGCCATTAGGCCGCGCGGACCCGCCAGCCCTGCAGCTCGGGAGCCCCGGCGCAACCCCCACGGCCTCACTGAGACCCCACCTTGCTCCCGCGCCCCTCGTAGCCTCCAGTCCCTCMCCCCCGCCCCCCCCCCCCGTAAAAGCGGTTGCGGCGAACAAAGCCGACCGAAGACAAGCCCTCACCGGCGCGCCCCTGCCTCGCCGACCCCGACCCCAAACTCCGGCCCCCACCCGCCCCATCTCTGCCCCTGGATCCCGGCTCGGCTGGGAGGGGGCTCACTACGAAACTCCAGGCCACCTCCCGAGGAGGGGGCGCCGGGCCGGGCTTCCCGAGTCGCGAGTGCAGAGGACCAGGGGGCGGGGACGCCATCCGTGCGCCCCTAGCCCGGCGCAGGGACGGTTTCCGGGAGGAGCCCGGACCGGAGGGCCCCCAGCTTGCGGCCCGGCGCGGCGGGAGCCCGGAGCTGACCGCGGGTCTTCGGCAACGGGCAGCGGATGGGTGAGCCGGGGGAGGGGCTGCGGCTTGCTGCGGGCCAGGAGCCGCCGGAGCTCCGGGGCTGGGTCCGCACTTACCTCCAGGACCAGCGCCCTCCGGGGGCTCCATGCGGCTAGCGGGGTCTGGGAGGGGCGCAGGCGGAGGCGGCGTCACCCGGCCCGGGCGCCCCAACAGCTGCAGCGGCGACTCGGCCCGGGATCCAGGCACAGCGCATCGGGGCAGCAGCCGGGGGGCCGCGGCGGCGGGGAGGAGCCCGCGGGGCGGGGCGCGCAGCTGCTCCGGGTCCCGGGTCCCCTCCCCATCTTCCCCAGCCGGGCAGGACAGGTGCGGCCCCGCCCTTTTCCGCGCGCGCCCCCTGTCGGCCCAGGGTCCTGCAGCCCCCCTCCCCCGCAGACTTCACCCCTTTCAGACCCCAACCGGACTAGGCTCCCGTTTCCCATCCTCTGCCGGGTGCCGGGGCTCCTGTGCACTCACTCGGCAGCCGGCAGCCCCGGTGGCTTCGGTGCATTTGTTCACCCCCAGGTATTTATGAGGCATCCGGTGGTGCTGGGGCGGTGGGGATCCAAGAAGGGGTCAAAGCAGCATTACCCTCGAGCGGGAATTGCAGATCGTGGTTAAAGCAATGAATCTACACTGAGGGTGGGTAGGGGTGAGAGCCGGGCTGGGGAGAAGGCAGGGCCTGGCTCAGTCCAGTCTCATCTCCAAATGCTGGTTCTGTACCAGGCCTGTCCACAGACCCTGGATGTGGGCAGACCCTTGAGCGCTCATAATGTACCGACCTGTTTTTGCACAGTATCTCATTACTTCTCCTAGTGATCCCAAGAAGGTGGTACTCTGAGTTTTCAGATGAAGAAACTGAGCACCGAGTGGTAGGTAGTAATGTGCCCAAGGCTGCACAACCAGGGCTAGAAGTGAGAAGGACTCAGCGGGAACCCTTGCTCTGCAGTTCACAAAACAAAAACAAATTAAAGAAAACTTTCATGGGGGAGGAGTAATTTGTCCCAGTGGAAAAGACATTGAAGGAAGGAATATGAAGTGACAGAGGGACTTCAGTACTGGCTCCAGGGAGGGTGGGCCAAACAGCTTCAGCCAACCAGAGTCAGATTCCAGGATGGTTCTCAGGCCAGTTTCACCGGGTAGCCAGCCCCCTTAGTACTCCGTGAAGGTCAGTTCCACAGGCTAATAGTTACTCATTTTCTTTAGTTTACAAGACAAACGAAAGTAGCTGCTATTTAAAGCCCTTTAAAGTGATTTCAGGCCCACCAGAATGTGAGCTGCTGGTGGTGGTTCAATTTGAACTCATGATCCTCCTTGCTCAGCCTTCCAAGCTGCTGGGATTACAGGCATGCATCACTAAGCCTGTCATCCAAAATGACTTTAAGAAAGGCAAGGTAGGGGCTGGGGTTATGGCTCAGTGGTGAAGTGTGAAGCACTGGTTTGATCCTCATCACCACATAAAAATAAATTATGGAGCTGTGGTTGTGGCTCAGTGGTAGAGAGCTTGCCTAGTATGTGTGAGGCACTGGGTTCAATTCTCAGCACCACATGGAAATGAATGAACAAAATAAAGGTCTGTCAGTGTCTAAAAAACTTTAAAAACTAATTAATTAATTAAAGGTATGGTGTCCATCTACAGCTAAAAAATAAGGTAAAGCAGTATTTCTTCCAGAATCTTCTACTCCCATAGAGATATTTCTGCTTATGAGGTCTGGACATGTCACTTCTCCTGCCAATAGTATGTGGCAGATGTGACGTCAACTAACTTCTGAGCCTGGGCCATGAGAAGGATTCAGCTCTCCTGGAAGCCTGTTGTTAGAACCAGGCCACATGGCAGGCTACCTGCTTGGTTCTGGCTGTCTGTGCCACTGAGGTCCCAGCCAATAGCAACTTCAACTGCTTTTTAAGTGAGTCCCAACCCTGCCTTTGAGCTGCCCTCCAGTGGGGCTGAGTGAGTTGTCCCCTAAGTCATTGTCAGGTTGCACATTAATGAGCAAAACAAATGAGGTCACTGTATTAACTATAGCATTTTATGCAGTTGCCTGTATGATGTCAAATTGTTATTTGACAGTGAATCCCACTTCAGGGACAAATAAATGATACAGAGGGGTTCTTGTCAAAGTCTTCCCAGCTGGTAATTGACAGGTGATTTGGCATCAGAGGCCAGTGTTTATTTTCTCTTTAACTTTTCCGTAAGGACATTCTCAAATACACAGGTGGGAGAATGGCACAATGAGAACTCACCAACCTGATCTGACAACTTCTAGCTCATAACTCGTCTTCTCTGTCCTCAGTCACCTCCCTCTGCTGCTGGGTTGTTTTGAAGAAAATTCTATACATTATATCATTTTCTAACTACTTCAATATTTACCTCTAAGATATAGATTCATATTATCCCAACAGCCAGGCCTGCAGTCAGTTGATGCACTGGGTAGCCTGAGCTAGTTTACTTGGATCACCAAGTGGTTGTATTAGGAAGGCCCAAATGTTAGACAAAAAAGTCAGTTGGTTTGTATGTATTAACATTTGCCCTTGGACTTTCCAGGAAGCTAAAATGCCATTTGTTAGGGTTTCTAAGCTGCACAGCTTGATACTGAATCAAAGTTTTGAAGCCATACATGTGAAGAAAAGACTCTTCTAAAAATCAGAATTCAGAATTCAATATGAGGGCTGGGGATGTGGCTCAAGCGGTAGCGCTCTCGCCTGGCATGCGTACGGCCCGGGTTCGATCCTCAGCACCACATACCAACAAAGATGTTGTGTCTGCCGAGAACTAAAAAATAAATATTAAAAATCTCTCTCTCTCTCTCTCTCTCTCTCTCTCTCTCTCTCTCTCTCTCTCTCTCNTCTCTCTCTCTCTCTCTCTCTCTCTCTCTCTCTCTCTCTCTCTCTCTCCTCTCTCACTCTCTCTTTAAAAAAAAAAAGAAAAAAAAAGAATTCAATATGAAAAACCCAGATGACAGTGGGCCTTGTTAGGAGTGAAGGAGTGTACACCCAGGGCTCCCTGAACTATTCGTCTTTGCCCATCCACAATGAAAATCAATCTGTCTCAACTTCCCTGATGTAACCATCCTATTCTTAACCCTTTTGTTGAAAGGAGTTATGATAATCCACTTATTTAATTCAAGGCTCCATGCCAGACTTCTAAAGCAAAAAGCCAAGCATGAAGTACCTAGTGTGTTGGGTCTGTTGAGTAAGTGTTAAACAATAGTATTTACCCCACTGGGGTATCCAGCTGTAGTCTTCCCTGCCAAACCTCAGTTGGGAGACTCCTACCCCCACCCCAGCCTTGGAAAGGAGGTTCCTGTCAGGCATATAGACAGGCACAGTGGTGCTGGTTCCTTGTTGCCTAGGCTCGTCACTGGGCCAGATCTTATTAAGACTTCAGGGCTTGCTATGAATATAGCATCTTGGCTAAGGATCTGAGTTTAGTAAGTCAATGGTCTTTCAACTGACTGTTCCTTTCCAAGAACATTCATGGTTTGGGTGGGCAGACAGAAGCAGCTCATTGCTGTGACTCTGGTTGCCTACCAATGAGCATCACTCTCCTGGCAGATTGGGAATACCTGAGCCCACCTGTGCCTTCCTTCATTACTCATACACTGCCCTCAATACAACTTTCTAGGGGAATTAGATTCTGGAATCTTCACTTCAAAAACAGATGTGAAGGAAGATGTGCTGCAAGATCTGACATCCTCCCTGCACCCAGTCCTGGGGATTGAATCCAGGGTGCTTTACCATTGAGCTAGATTCCAGCTCTTTTTATTTTGTTTTTGAGACTGCTTTTACTTAGTTGCTGAGGCTGTCCTCAAACTTGGGATCCTCCTGCCAAAGTCGCTGGGATGACAGACATGTGCCACCATACCAGGCTGCAAGATCACTTTTTTTTTTAAGAAGATAATAGGGTCTGGGGCTGTAGCTCAGTGGCAGAGCACTTGCCTAGCATGTGTGAGGCACTGGGTTCAATCCTCAGCACTACATAAAAATAAATAAAGATACTATGTGTTCAACTACAACTAAATAAATATTAAAAAAAAGAAGATGATAATGTTGAGTGCTTAGGCAAAAGCAAAACAACCACTGGCGAATGAAGACAGACACCTGCTTATGACAAAGTCAGCCTTCTGGGTGACACAGGTCATCATGCGGGTGTAATAGACTGGAAATTTGCAGGGACTGGAAATTTGCTTTGGAAATTATAAAATGCTTAGCAGTATTCAGAGCAAGTGGTTAGAAAAGGAAACCAACTGCCCTCTTTTCTACAGTGCTTGTTTGGGAGAGAACATCTACAGTGATGGGACCACCGAGGCTGCCTCTTTAGGCAGAGGTGGTTTAAAAATAATAATAATAATAATAGTTAGAGAGAGAGGGGTCACTTGTTTTCAAAACTTTGGAGCTCAACTTGAACTTAATTTTCTTTGGTGTTTCTGCTCCCCACTGAGGGTTTCTGGAAACCTGCGGCGCATATTCAAGCCTCTCTAGGGCAGCAGGTGGGAGGGCTCTTCCAGCCGGGCGAGGTGAGTCCCTGGAGCAGACTTTCCAGTTGCGGTACTGTCTCCGAGCCTTGGGAGGACGACTGATCCTTCCTTCAGCCATTCGCCCATTCCCCAGCTCATCTTCATGGAGCACTCGCCATGTAGGCGCTGTAGTACGGAACGAAGGACACAGTTCTCCCTCCTCATGGAGCTCGAGTTCTAGTGGCGGGGACCAGCGATCAACGAAAGGCGCTAGCTCAGGGGCGTCAGGTAGTCAGGAGTCTCGGGGACGCACAGCAACCCGCCCATTTCCGCCACTCCGGCCACCTGGAACCTGCCCCAGCGCATTGCTAGGGACGCACTCCCGCCGGGCTGCAGGCATAGTCTCGCGAGAATCTCCGAGATTTCGTGMGGGATCTCGCACGGTTGCCCGGAGACGGCGCAGCCTCCGCGGGGCGGGTCGCGGTGGCTCTGGTCAGCCGGCGCCATGGTGAGGCTGGCGGGGTCCTGGGCCCGGGGTTGGGCGGGCCGGCCTGCGCTCGGAGACCCCGGGACGGGCTGTTCCTGGGATCGAGGACTGGATGCCCTCGTCGGGTTCCGGGGAAAGCCCGGGGTGGGGGGTCTGCGCCTCGGAGCTGAGAGGCTTGGGTTCCTCGGGATGCCGTGCGCCCTGGTGGGCTTAAATTGCCGAGACCTCGGGCGCGGGGCGCGGGGTGTCCAGAAGACGGAACCTGGGTGTCTCCGACCCTCGGAACCC